GCATGAAAAGAACACCTGTCCAACTGTTAAACACAGGGGTGGTTCGATCATGCTTTGGGCTTGTGTTGCAGCCAGTGGCACAGGGAACATTTCACAGGTAGAGGGAAAATGGATTGAGTTAAATTCCAGCAAATTCTGGAAGCAAACACCACAGCATCTGTAAAAAAGCTGAAGACGTATCTGTGGACTGAAAAAAACAATTCAGTAAATTATTCTAGTAGGCTACCTAAAATTTAATTTGTATTTGTCATATTGATAATTTCTATTATAAAAAAACCCTGATACTTGGCACAGTGTGATATTACTATAATTCCACACAAAAATAGCACGATACTATGCTGCTCAATGAGGGTCAGACAGAAGTACAAGAATGTCTGTGTGTAAATAGTTTATCGTATTCCAGACAAAACACATTAATAAACATCAAAATGATGAAAATGTTAAGATTTTGAAAAGAGGCTAATTTCCATCTGCAGTCCATGGGCAGGTTAATGTTACACATAAACAGAAACCTGAAGACACAACAACACTAGGTGGAAACCTAGTATATACCCGGACTGTTTATGGTCCTAACCCAGTCATCAGAACAAATGTTGGCATAGTAAGTTTCTGCAAACCACAATGTCTGGCCATCCACCATCCCCTCAACCTCTGATGTTAAGGTCAGCTCATAGACTACATCACTTTGGAAACAATGATATGACATTTATGAAACAAACAAAAATAACACATTCTTGGTTTGCAGGAACCTACAATGCCAACATCTTTTTCTAGCGACTAGACTGATGGTCAGTGTGTGCAATTGTGGCCAATTTGTCACACAGGTCATCATTTGTATCTATACTGTGAATTCCTAGAAATTAAATGTTCATCTGCAATCTTCTGTAGTGATCACAGGAATATTTGTTCTCATATATAACACATGACACATGACATGGATATGTTACATTTGAGTCAAATAATTGAGGACTGTCTGCACCTCGCTGTAAAAAACTCCTAAATATGTAGTTGAGGACTGTCCACACAGTGTTTCCTGTGGAGCAAGAGGCTTGTTATGGAGACAATCTGTACATTCCAATCCCCATACTACCATACTATATAATATGCCAGAAAAAGATTTAGTATGTCCCAGTACATAGTATGGGAGGCGGAAAAAAAACGTTCCCGAGCCCCTTACCCTAACCTTAACCATCACAACTAAATGCCTAACCCTAATCCTAATCTATACCTAATTCTAACCTGAAACCCAAAACCAAGTCTTAACCCTCAAACAGGCCTTTGAAAAAAATGAGGACTGGCCAAAATGTCCTCACTTTACGTTTTTTGGTCCTCACTGTGTAGCATGTGTAAGTGTATACACACAGACACACACGCACAGACAGACACACATAGAGAGCTCTCCTGACAGACAGATTGATGGCTGTCTTTGTTGCTGACATCAGATCTGGTCTACCTGCTCTGGTCAGAGTTACAGCGTCCACCTCACTGGGCAGGACCACACAGTCTGATCATGGCCACCTTCTGTTGGGTGTTTGTAGACACAGAGAGGTCTGCATGTAGCTAAGCTGGTCAGAGCAGGCCAGCAGGATCAGCTCCTCCAGTCCACTACATCAGAGTTGCTACATTCTTGGGTGGTACGAGAGGCAGCAGAAGAGGGAGGAGGGGTGGTTGACCTGCAGCTTATCTTTGCCCATTGCCCACATTAAACAATGGCTATCAGATGCACCTGGGTCATGAGTGTTGAAGATCTCATATAACATGGCGTGGCACCTGGAAGACCCTTTTAGTTCTGGATCTGAGGTGAAGGAAAGTTCATTTGAGGAGGTGAGGAGTCTCATCTGCAGCACACACAGCTCACAGGTCCGTTTACAGTAGGAGTCACTGCAATATAAAATCTCAAAGTCTATTAATAGCCCAGAGTCCCCTGGAGTTCACGAGGCCCCTGTACTCACCCTCTGTATGTGTTTGTGTTTTAACTGTCCACTAGAGAGAAAGGAAGACGACATCAGGCACGGATCATCATTTGTCTGCTTATGGTCACCTCTGACACACACACACACACACACACACACAGACAGCCTGACATGTGGATGGCTTATTTTATCTCCCAGCTTCTATATTTAATTTATTCATTTCCTCTCTAACAGTGGGGATGAGCACAAAGACACAGCTCTGCTCTCACTACAGTAACCTCTCACAAGAGCTGAGCTGTGAGGCGGCTGCACGAGCTAAATGCCGTCCAGGAAAGAGTGAGCACGAAGAGAAGGGGACTGTGTCTGCTGTATTTAATTGGTTTAAGGACACCATTGTGGTGCGATGCCCTGAAAATCTGTTGGAAAAGAATGTAATCTGAGAGTAGATAGAAATAGAAATCCTTAAACAGTCTGAAGTGTTTGGCAGACGGCCTCTCAGCACTGTAAATGTATCACATATGTGCTGCCGCTTTGACGGAGTCTGGGAAGAACATATCTGGAGGGGAAACAGTTAAAACTGACTTTGGGTGGCAAAGAGGCTGTGGTCAAACTCAGATATTTTAGTGTGCTGTGGACAATTCCTCCTGCTTTGCCAAAAAAAAAGAAAAAGGACCAAGAATTCAATTACCATTAGCTCTCACAAAGAAACTCTGTATTTGAATTTATGCAACCATTATGCACAAGCCACCACACTGTCAAAACTGCTCTGATCTCAAATCAAAGCTGCATTAAAACATATTATCCTAAAATTAAAGGATATGCCTGGCATAATTCTATATTTTTCTGATGGTTAGCAAATCCCATGAAAAGACCAACAACAACATGTTAGTCAGTCTCTCACTACTCTCTAAATTCCCTTCTCTGTCTGTTACATTCAGCTCTAAGCTTATTGGTTCTTATTAAAGGCGTAAATCTTTAAAAACAGCTCACAAATATATTGTTTCATTTTGGAAAAAGGCTCAGTGATTTCATAAAACAGCTGGTCACTGTAGTTTTTAGGAAATGTCACTGAAATTGTACGTTTGTTAGGGACTGTTTTCAGCAGTGGATTAATCCACATTTGGTGCTCTGAGTGACAGCAGGATAGTGTATGTGGGACTGAATCACAATAAACCACAGCGTGTGTTCATGGTAATGAAGGAACACGTCGTACAGTCACACGGTGTGGCTCATTGATGTGTTTTTAATAGTTTTTGGACAACAATAGAGCTCTGTGGCACAGAAGAAGAACATATATCAGGCTTTTTTTTAATGAGATTTGATGTCAATAACAAAAATACATCATTATATATTATCAAACTTTTCAAAGACTATCCTAGTTAGTAACTTGTTAATTCTTCTAGGCTGTATATCAGACTAAAGAAGTTTGGTTATGCATCTCCAAGTGGCAACCTTCAGGGGCTGAAAAATTAAGCCGTGTAAGTGCCAGAAACTGCAGTACCTCTAATGGCCACTTGAGTTGGCTCCATGAGCGAGTCAAACCCCATGGGCCCCCATGTTAAAATGCCCAACTTTACAGCAGAAATAAACATGTTTACAGCCTGGTATAAAAAAAACTGTTTTGGTTTCTTTTGCTTTTTTCAACATTCAAGGCCAATGACCATTGTGTGTGTTTTTTTTTTAATTTTATAAATCACCCATTAAATGTTATAAAGGCTACAAACTAATCATGAAATAAAGGAATATGGAGACATCACCACTTACGCAGTAGGCTAGTAGTTTGGTAAAATTTGCCACAATAATAGTTACAAGAACAGTGGCAACAACACTAGCAAAAATTGTACTGTTTATAATACTAATGATGTATTTATTTGGTGCAGAACAGTGCTTCAGCCAAACAAGGTGAAAGGTCACTGGCTTATAGCAGAGTCATCTGTGTGTGCTGCTACTGCTCAAATCAATATGCACACTGCCACACACACACACACGCACACACACACACACACACACACACACACACACACACACACACACACACACATAAACACAGAGCTTTCCATTTCGTTGCAAAAACACATTTATTTCCTGGTTTCATTGTGCTCAAACAGAGCTGCGTGCCCACTGCACAGACGTGTGCATGAAACCACCCCTAGGTAATGGATCTGTGCAGCCATTGATTGTATTGGTTTGATGCTGACGCCGCTCTGTCTGAAGGGGAGGGGTCTACACAGAAAGCCCTTCTTTGGGGGTCTAAGAGCTGCTTTTTTATGAATGAAGTGCAGCTACGAATTAAGCACACATTCTCTCAATAAATTCACTGTTTCCGTGGAAGTTGTGCAGTTATGAAAATAAATGTTTTGTACAAAAGTGTGCATTTTGATGATGTTCCTGTTAACTTTCCCCTGAGCTCACAAGGCGGCTGATATTCACTGAGCATTAAGCTACTTTTGCTCGCAGTGGCCAGAGCATGGAGAGCAGGCTGCAGGACCGTGGGAAAGGTCCTCCACGTAAGGCACTTTATTCTTTGTGTCTGTTGTTCTTGTGTAATTGATCTCACTCCACGACCACGGCGGAGTGCTTCAAAGACACACACTTTTTTTTTTTTTTTTTATGGCTGCACCATTCCATCAAGTGAAAGTATTCTACACATGCAACGATACACACTGTACATTGTTTTACACACATTTCCCAAAATTAAGTCGATGTATTTGAACCTTTGATATTTGTTGCTGGAGTCTTTCGTAAGAAACAATTTACTGTTCAGGTTTTACTTTTAAATCATCACATTTATTTGTTCTTAACAGGGAGACTGATGATCTGTGTATACATCTAAATGTATTCCAAATGATAGCAAGATTTGTGGACAATGTTTTAAGCAAAGAAAAGGGCAACAATTTCTTTGAAAAAGCTGAGATTTTCACTCTGAGAGTTTGGACATGTTTAGGGACTGTTCTTTACTTATCAGAGGTGGGGGTTTCTGGGGTATAATTTCATTTTTTCCTTATTATTATTTTGACCCTCCTCGAAGCTACAAATATTTTTCCGTGAGCCTCCCTGAGTGACTGGAGGAAAATGAATGACTCTCCCTCCACCATAATTAGTTAGAAGATTTTTAAAACTTAACCTTTGATGTTTGAAATTTAAAAGTTTAAGATGAAATCATGGAGTTGGAAAAAAACCTTGGTTTTTCACTCTTGTTGTGCATGCTGGTTAGTTTGTGAAAACGGTTAAGTTTTATCCAAATTTTAAATGAGATGTAAAGTGATTTTGATGAAATAAGCCTATCACTTTTTAATCTCAGAGGTTATGTTGATGTGTCCAAGGACCGTCGGAAATTGGAAAATCCAACAAATCCCATAATTACAGTCTCTGACTATGATAAATGACATAACTTTGGTGATTTGTGAAGAAAACATGCTTGCGCCTGGGAGGCATGTTTTCTTCAAAATTCTAAATACAAAATAAAACCATTCAAATTTGTATGTCCCTCCCTGAAGCTAAAATAAATTACATGTGTCTGTCCTCAGTGCTTTAAAAATGATTTGACATGCCTCCCTTTTGCACCACCCCCTCCCCCTTCACAAGTTAGGAACAGTCCCTTACATGAGAAGAAACATCTTATTTTGAAACTACTGATTTTTAATGTGACATGCAAAATGTAAAATTCTCGACATTTGAAAAATGTTTTGTACTGTAGCCTATCGTTACAATCCAAACGACAACGAAATAAAGAGGAAATGTAACTTTTATAAAGCTGCACATGTCAAAAGGCTGCAAAATGACTACAAGTTCTTGATGATTAATTAATGTTACAACTTAATATGTGGCAGCAGAAACAAGCTTGTGTCCATTCTTATTCTAGTGTTGAGGTGATACTGTCTCCCCAACATGAAGCGCATACTTCATATATCACAGAGGTGAACTCTGAATGGCTGTTCAGTGTCCGACAGCAGCGGATTCCATTGAAACGTGTGAAAATGTGAATTTAATTCATAAATGCGGCCTGCCATGTCTGGCCCGCGGCCAGGATTCCGTCTCCTCTCTGTTTTCTCTGGCTACCATCCAGGCCCCCCTCCCCCGCCCGTGTTATCCACCCACGGGAGAGGTGATTTCTTTCTTTTTTTCTTTCTTTCTTTCTTCTTTTTTTTTTTTTTAAACCCATCCTCGCTGAGTGGGTCCTGGTTTTGGAGTGGGCTGTGGATGCGGTTATTATGCCCACACTCCTCAGACGGTCCGTGCCGAGCTGTCACGCCTCGCTGCTGCATGGTCCTGCCCGGTGCCGCGGTGTGTTGTAGCCGAGTTTGAGTCGGAGCCGCTCGGCGTCTCAGACTCCGCCGTCCCCCGGTGTTCCTGTCTTCACTGAGCCAAACCTTCCAGCTGCTCACTGGCGCTTTTTATCGGCTTCAAAGCCGCCAGTCCCGCCGACTGTGGGGGGACTTACACAAGTGGGACAACAGACCTGTTAAAGTGCCATTGAAGCTATCCACATCGGCTCCCTCCATTTCTTTATTTTTTTCTATCTTTCTGGAAGTCGTTTTCTGTTCACCGGGAGAACGGAGGAGCCGCAGCACCGGGAACCATGAGCGGACGCGGGGAAGAGGCCGGGGAGAGCTCTGGCTCCCAGGAGCCCGCAGGGGCCGCGGAGCCCCAGAAGAGGAGGCCGGGGAGACCGAGGAAGCCCCCAAAAGTAAGTTTGTGCCCCGCTGCTGTTGAGTGAAAGCGCTCTGCGGCCAGGCTGCCGATTTTTATCTGCACACTGTGACCGAAATGTGGTGCTTTTACACACTCGGAGAGTTGAGATCAAACTTTAGCAATGACTCCAGGTCCTGTGCCAAGGTGGTGATGCCGCTCTGATTTAGTCTACTTTATCAAACTGCACCAGTGGCACTTATTCTGTATTAAAATGAGCTGAATTTGTAATTAATTGTTCCATGTTGACACTGATGCAGGGTGTGCAATCCACGATAACTTCTTCCCTACTGTTTGTGTTGGTTTCTGTGTGTTTCGGTGCGAAATTTACATAATGTTCTACCCCCACATATAGGCCTACTGCTGTTTGATATAGACCCACTCTGTGTATGCTGAATATAGTCTCCGTCCATACACATGATGAGGAATGTGCCTGTTTGCAGTCTTGGCTCTGGCCGATGATCTTTAATTGACAACATGAGTAAAACGAAAAGTATGGGGATGAATGTAACTCTGCAGACCTTCCGTGAGTTGAATCAGAGACGCCATGGCAACTGAGGTCTTTGAACGTGTTTCTGTGAATGTGTTTATAGACGTGATTCACTGGTGACTCACATTCCCACCAAAACTTCACACCAAAATCACGTCCATTGACACTGCAGGCTGCAGTGTGACTGTAGGTGAGAGAAACCGGAGCCTTTCAGAAAGAACAGCAGCCTGCAGCTGGTTTTATGTAGAGGTAGAGTTGAATGTCATAATACATCTCGAAACATTATGAGGGGCACTACCAGGCTCAGGCTATTAGGGTGATAGAAATATCGGTGGCAAACTGTGCAAAATTCAGTGTGAAATTTCAAAGTGGAGAATCAGGCTGGATAATAAATCCCTCTCATTCATCTCTCTGCACACACACACACACACACACACACACACACGCACACGGACACGCACACACACACAACCTTTGTCCCTCTTTTGGTCTTGACCCATAAAGCAATGATCAAATGGGGTTCTTCAAAGCTTTGTTTCCTGTCCACAACACCCATGTCATGTCCCCCCTCCTCTTCAGGAGCCCAGTGGAGAGCCTGTCCCCAAGCGACCGAGGGGCCGCCCCAAAGGAAGTAAGAACAAGGGCCCTTCCAAGGCAGCTCAGAAGGTAAGGAGCCTCAGCACCTGAAAATCTGAATGCTACACATGTTTGCTGATGCCTCTTTTAAGACATTACTTGACGTACACTCAGACCAGTCGGCAGAACTGAAAATGTTGGTATTTTAAGTGTCTGCAAACGTAACATTTGTAAACATATTGCACTTTCTTAAGCAACTATGGCATTCTTAAATGCCATAGCTGCTAACTTTGTTATTCGGAGGTGGAGGGGATGGTGGATGGTGTGAGACCTTGGTATGATGTCTGCCAGGCTGCAGACCACTGTTCAAGACCAACAAATAAAAAAGTCATAGGTGTTTTTCCCAGCGGCTTTTGGCCACTGAATAGGGGTGTTTTTTAAGGGACCCGTTGCTGTTTTTCCTACAGCTTTCCAGCCTCCAAACATGGGTGGTTTTTAGGGACCTGTTACTATGAGACATCTACCAAGCTGCAGATCACTGCAGGCAATTGTCCTGGACCAAAACACAGCAAAACTAGTTGTTTTTTGAGCAAGTCATAGCTGTGTTTCCAGCAGCTTTTAGCCACTGACTGGGGGTGTTTTCGAGGGACCAGTTGCTGTTTTTCTTGTAGCTTTTCACCCCCCAAACATGGGCCTTTAGGGACCCATTACTACGAGATGTCAACCAAAGTGCAGACCACTGCAGACCAACAAACAGCTAAACTAGTTGTTTATTTAGTGAGTCATTGGTGTGTTTCTAGCGGCTTTTAGCCTCCAAACATGACAGTTTTTTAGGGACCCGTTACTATGATATGACTACCAAGCTGCAGACTGCTGCAGACCACTGTCCTAGAGCAAGAAACAGCAAAACCATTTGTTTTTAAGCAAGTCACTGGTGTGTTTCCAGCAGATTCAGTTTTCTTGAATGACTGGTTGCTATTTTTCCTGTGCCTGTATTTCTCCAAACATGAGTGTTTTTTAGGGACCCATTGCTGTTTTTCCTGTGGCTTTTTACCCCCAAACATGGGTGTTTTTTAGGGACCTGTTAATATGATTCTTGAGAATATTGTTCTTGAGAGTCACTGATGTGTTTCCTGTGGCTTTGTAGCCCCCAAATACAGTTGGTGTTTAAGCAACCAGTTGCTATTTTTCCTGTGCTTTTTTGCCTCCAATCTTAGGTGTTTTTTAAGCAACCTGTTGCTGTTTTTCCAGCAAGTACTGTGCCCTCAGAACTGGTTACTTTAGGCCAAGTGGTTTTTGTGCCTACACCTAGTCACATGTGAATCATAGTGTTGTTGAAACATAAAGTTTCACTGTATCCACTACATAACAATGTGTAAATTTAACACATCTGTTGTTTGCTGAAATGTACAATGCCAACATTTTTCTGGTGACTGGGTTGTCCATAACCAATACATGACTTCAGGAGAGGGCTGTATTTGTTATGATCAAGTTGCTACTCACTGCTCTCGCTTTAAACATATTTGGATTCATATTTCAATTTGGACCATCCATAAAGCATGTGTAAGGGGACAAAAATTAATAATAACTGCCAAAAAATAGTGAGCAAAAATGTTGTGGTGTACCATGAGTGGGACTACATTGTGTACTGAAGATCATTCAGACTCAAGAGTCAGCTGAAGTTCTTTACAGTCCTTGATGCTCAAGTGTCAAGCTGCAGATGCAAAATGAGGCATCTGTTTTCTTGATGGCTCTTTCAGGATTATGTTGTTGCCTTATAGTCACTCCTATAATCAAACTGTGTGTTCTCTCTTTGTCAGTGAGACTAGTTTGGATCTGGAAGATACACTGTGAGCTATAAACCTTATTTCAACCTTGATGTTACATCAGAAAGCATTTTAGCTGCTTCTTACTTAACAAGTTGAAACCCCATCCCAAAGCACTCACACACACACACACACACACACACACACACACACTGAATCACACCATTGCCAGTGATAATGACGGTGACACTGAAACTGTGGTTATCAGGTGCGGTCTGTAATGTTATGCCCTGCAAAACATCACATTTTAATCAGTTAAGTAGGTTCATCTGTTCTATATATGAAAGCTTCAATATAACAGCCCTGCCATGAATCCTGGTAAATGAAGCTTACAGTATAACGCAGAGTTTGTGACAAATACGGCATGAGTGGATTTATTTATTTTTAAGGGCACAGTGGTGGCCTTATACCATGTGGCACTATATTGCCAGGCATGTCTGTGTCCTCTGCCCCACTCAAGTATGTAAGTGAGGGTAGATTATATAAATACAAGAAGCACCTTTCAGTGTGATGCAGTTCAGCACAGCACCACCCCTGACTACAGCCTTAAAAAGAACCACCAAAAGTTTTACTGCAGGACTTCTGTTTTGGGTTGCATTTGGGGTCTCAATAAAAAGATTGCTCAGAATAATTCTAGTAGGAACTTTAGTAGAAAGCCTAATCATTATTTTTGACCAAAACAAAAATAATAAAAACATTAAGAACAAATGGAAAAGGAAAGATTTTCCCCCGCTGAAAATATGACAGGTTTATGGAATTTCTAAAAAGAGGGATCAATGAAATGTCAACTGAGAATAGCTGGATGTCCCAACTAGGTCTGGGTATTGAACTTCAGTATTTTCTGTACCGACTGAACTGTGTCTGCAACTCAAGAGACTCAAGAACTGCCAAGTGCTGAACTGTGGCATGGAATGTCTGGTCAGATTTGTAGTCCTGTTAATTTATTTTGTGATCAGACAGGATTGTTTCTAATATCAGTACTGAAACTTAGGTATGTTACTGGCACTGATATTGAAAACAATACTGAGCCCCACTCCTGACCCGTCCACCTTATACTTTGCCAGGGGTGGGAATTGCCAGAGGACCCACAATACGATATTTTCACGATAATATGGTATTATTGTGATATTGTGATATGCTAGTATTGTGATAAAATATTGTGATATATTACCTTTTTTCCCACTGCAAATGATTTCCCCCAAGGAAAACTCAATATCAGTTTTACCTACATAAATATCGATACTTGGTGACAGTGTATCGATACAATGTTGCATACAAAATATCACAATACTGTACACTGTAGCTACAAATCTGAGGTAGATTCAAAACCATTATAATCAAAATAATGTCAATAAATTAAACAATAAATAGATAAAGAAATTTTAATTCTGGTCAGCAGCATGTCAAATTCTTTATGCAGATGGTTTAAAATATTTTGTAAGTATTTTAGCTGACAATGGAATGAATCATACTAAAAATAACTTTATGAGTGTGGTGAATGTTGTAATGTTATAAGGTATCTCCTTCTTATACTACTGCTACATTACTGTACTACTACTTCTTCTCTTGGTTAATTGCAGGTTGCAACTGGTGTTTAAGGTGCATTATACTGCCCCTGCTATGGGCGTATGGGTGGTTTAATTATAGGGAGGATTTATCGACCATTTACTAAATCTCTATTGAGGAAAATTATTGAGATAATAAGCGTTATTATTTTAAGGCCCAGCCATACTTGAAACCATGGCGTCTTATTGAGACAGGCCTTTATTTGTCAAAATATGTAGCCACATTGGGCTAGTAAAAGGGACTGGGCATTTCATTGGGACTAGGCTTTTAATTGAGGTTTTACAGTATGTACAAATTTTGGTGCATTACTTTTTGTAGGAAAATGCAGCAGCAACAGTGCATGAGAACAGCCCGGTATTAAAAAAACAAAACAACAAAAAACAGCCACATTAATGTCTAGAGTTGACCCTCTGCATGCTCACTTATGTGCAGCCCACAGAAGCATGTTCCAGTCTTAAAGAGATGACTGCAAAAAAGAACACATTTGAAAACACAGGAACCTATTTGTGCATCTGTGATGATAGAAACATGCAGCCATAACTCAACAGCACTCTCACAAACTTGTGTACACAGAGGGGAGACGTGTGCGTGAGAGATAGAGTTGATGAATGAGAAAAGATTAAAGTTGCAAAGAAAAAACGATCCTGAGAAAAGCTTTGGGATTTTACAGCAATATCCCACATAACATTTGGGTTGTGATATTGTACATGTCGGCGAGGCCAGGGCAAGTCCCTGTGTCTTCATTCATTAGTTAGATGAAGCTGTGTTAGGCTCATGATGACAGCAGCCTTAGTGCTCCCTTGCCACCATGAACCACTGTAAACATTCCCAGCACTTTGAAAAGTGAACCACTCTGCTCTCGCCATAATCCAGTCTCATCTCATCTGGTATTGTTATGATAAACACTGAAGATATCAATCTTTCCAGATGAAAGAGTCGTGGGTCAGTCCACACCTTTAACTTATACTCTTTAAAAGTTCACTTCCCCTCCCCGTATCAATCATTCCAGCTATCTCTGACAGATATCATGGCAGCTTTTAAGTAGAAACAATTGTACTGCACACCTTGACTGGTTTATTATTAGTACAAAATATAAACTACTTTTTACACCATTCTCAAAAAACAAGACATTATTTATAGAGATATAAGGTTTGGGAGTGAATACAGAGACATCTTGGGATTCTCATCTAAATCTGAGACTATCCTCTCCAGGAAATCAGCAGGATTTGCTGTTTGTTTGAACACTTAATAATATTCTGAAAAGGCTTTGTGGATAATGACAGTTTTGTCATTGCTTCCATTAGGGTGTTAAAGTGTACTGATTGATGAACAAAGTGTGTGAATGCTTCAGTATGCTTCAAACAAACAAGGTCCTATGAAGTCATGTCTGACCTTTTCTGTATAGCCGTGCTCAAAGGAGGGCCTAAAAGCATGCAGTGTTGTAGATGTCTTGAATTATACATATGGGAATAAAGGCTTTAAGGCAGCCTGTCCTTGTAGACAGTCATGGTTTTGCACACATGAAAAGTTCAGGTTCACATGGAAGTAGGGCAAAAAAAGAGCTTCAAGAGAAGTTCAAACCCTGCCTACTTTCACACAGGGCAGGGTGATATGGCCTATAAATAATATTACAATATTGTTAAAGCTGACACAAGATACACATTAAATATCTAAATACTTTGAAATCTCCTCTAAACT